ATATAAAAATATCATTTCTGGTACATTTGTATATAGATTTTATGCGTTTCAACATTTAATTTCCAACTTCACATGAATACCTGCACAGTCATCCACATACATAGGTAAAAAAACCTAATATCTAACCTACCTGAAAATTCATATAACACTGGTATCCTTGACCCCTGTCATTCTGACCATAAAAAAGGGCAATTTGTTATCATCAGTGGGGCTTCAGAAATATGAACAGAAACGTGTTACCAAAAAAGCCCTAAAAAGTTTAAAAAATTGGAGTTTTCTAGACACTAAACAGTTTGGTTGTGAGTTATATTCCTCAGATATTCTCAAAAGTATTCTTGTAAAATCAAAATATCACTTCCTCTAAGGAAGTATGTACTCACAGAAAATAACTTTGAATTAACATGGTTTGATGATAGGTACACTTGGCTGCAAAATTCGCAGCAGATGTGTCACGAAATCCATACTATATGGTAACATTCAGGGCCAGTTAAAAACGAAAAAAAAAAGCAAATGAAAAGTTGAAATTTCAATAGTACCTCCAAATCTTCCTGGAACCCTATAAATGTAATTAAACTAGTAGAGGTAACAGGACAATGCTTGAACGATTTTTTTGCAGTCTAGCTTAAAATACCATTCGAGTTCTTCCTGATCTCTCAATAAAAACATACTACCATTTTTTTATTAAGCCTACTTGTCCTAAAAAATTAGTTGATGCGATGATGTCACTTAAAAACAGTACTCAACTTTTAGATAGATATACTTTTCTGAAGTTAACAAGTTACACAGTTGTAAAGCTCGGGTCAAGGAATACATTTCTACAAAATAGAAAATAATTGAAAGAAAAAGAAAATACAGCCATCAAAACTGTTCCTACTGATATCACACAGCATGAAGCTACAAGATGAAAAGCAGGTAATTTTATGCTCCGTTGATAAGGAGTATAATCAAAGTAATGTCATGAAAAAATGGTGAAAATGGATTCTTGAAACTCTTAGACTATTTTTACAGAACCTTATAGACGTAAAATCTATGTAATACCAGGTGTTCTGAGAAATATTGTGAATAAATATTATTATATGGTCTTTATTTTACACTAACCAGTTTTTGAACAGATACTAAATTTTCCAAGAAGTGTTATTTGGTATAAATTTCCATGAATTTCATTATTGAAAAGCGAGTTCTTACCTACTCAGAGAAATAGACAGTTTTCATTTGGTCATTTTATGCATAGCATACGATACATTTATTACAAATCAACAGTTATGATTAGTAATGCTAGTGCTCTTCATTTATTAGAACATCATAAATGGAATTATAAAGTATACTGGGGCGCAAAAATTCAATTTCTACTATTGCTATCTCGGCAAAGGTAGAAGATTAGACAAAAAATGTATTCTTTAAAATGCAATGGAATTATGTTGTGAAATTTAGACTATTGTGAGCGGTCCTCAAAAAAATCGTAAAACATTGAAATCATTTGATTTTGATTTAAAACTTTTCAGTCGATACATCAAGAAGAGTACTTCGACCACGCCACTGAAGACGACTGCCGCAGTTGAAACGTTTGTATATTAAAAACCAACCAAAAGCTATCATTTCATATTTGAAAATAAATTTTCAATTTAAATAACTATTCTTTAAGCGTTTTTCAATATTTTCCCGTACTGTACTTTTCTGTATATTTATGAATTAAGCAATACTTATTACGATGACTTCAATTTTTTGACAAACTAATGATACTATAGTTTTTAAGGAGTGAATGTTTTGATCGATCGTGGAGAGTGAAAGGTGACCTGACTAAAACAATCTATGAAAATGATTAGATTACTTTTAATGCCACCGACATTGAATGTATAACCATAACCACAGTGATGACGACTTGAATTTCATTAGAGATAAACATAAACTTCAATGTAGGAATAGCAATCACAAAACATCATGAATTTTCGATATTTGAAAAAAAAGCTATAGAACTTTTTAGAATCACAACCAACCTAACACGGGTTGGACGATAGCAGGTGAAAATCTATCGTTCAGGCTGCGGCTTGAACCAACGACTTACACATCGGCCGATTGAGAGATTGAACAAAGCACCCTGTATTTATTTTTTCATGTAATTCAATGTTCATATGAAAGTAGTCGTTTGTTTCAAGGGGACTTTTCTCTCAGTTTGTGGCTGAAAGTTGCTTGTTTGCATGATGTATACATCTTTGTAGAGTTTATTTTAAAATTAACTTCTTTCTTCTTGTCTTTGAAAGGTTCTCAAATTTTTCTATAAAGATGGAGAAGTGGAAAGCCAAAACTTCTCATTCCCAAAAAAATTTTCTGATTTTTAAAAACAAGTTCTCCATTGTATTACTGTTTTTGGTACAACAACTTTAAATTATTATGTTGACTCAGAAATTCCTTTTGCGAGAAATTAGCTTTTAAAATGCAGTTGATCAATTGCCCTCATCACCTATATGATACCTTTAACCATCCTTTTCCAAAACTGGCCTACATTGAAATGTTTGGCATGTGAGAACTTAGGACATCAAAAGTTGAAATTTACATGTATTCTAGAAATTTTTTTACCATAAAATTCTGTTCATATCATAGTTAAAAGTTTATAGGTACATTAAAATTTTTCATTCAAGCAATGTTTTTTTAAACAATTCTTTTGAAAAATGTTAACATTATTTTCAAAGAAAAAATCTGAAATATCTAACAAATGAAACACTTAATAGGAATTCATCATATACTTAGAATTTAGAGATTCAATGTACATTGTATATGTAGTCAATATGGTATCAATACAAATATTGGTGCTTCACTAGTATGGAAATCGATAACATATGTTACCTTGATTCTAAGATTATTAGGGTAGACTGATCTACAATTTCTCCTTGGCCACAACTTATTATAGGTGCCTATCAATTGTCTAAATGATATCTCAAACAAGTTGATGAAATATCATTGCATAGATTTTTCCATTCAAAGCCATTACTTGGATTTACACAGCTGATATAAATATTCAAAATGAAGTAAACAGAAACGCTGATACAGAACAGAAATATATCAACAACACGTGTATAATACACCATTATTAATACAGAACATTTGTTCAATTTGAAAAAATAAAGATTGAGAGTTACATATACAGGACCAGCAGATTTATTTTACAGATAAAACTCATTTGAGGCAAAACAAAACTGTTCACCAGACAGAAAAAGTAGCCAAGGAGGACATTAATATTGTCTATAAAACACATACATCACAATTTTTCTATTACAAACCTATGTACATCAAATGAAGGCCCTGTTGAACCGGATAAAATAAATAATAAATTGGACATAATGCATCAAGTATGAATAATTTCGAACTGTACTAAAATGCACTATAATGTCAAACAAGCAATAAAATGAAATCAGTCACCTATATAGAGCTTAAGCTCACTTTTTATTCAGCCATGGATGTTTTAAGCAGTCGGAAGCAGTAGCACGTCTATCGGGATCAAAATCTAGCATGGGTCTCAGAAACGTGGCAAAATCTATAGCATCTTCTCTTGCCCAATCATACTTTTCTGTGAGCACCTCCTCTAGACCCCAAGGCTTCAAGCCAGTAATATGACGTAGTTCGTTCTTCTTATTGAAAAACAGTTTAGAGTTTTTACCACTTTGGGCAATTTTCCTTGGTATATTTCCCAGTAGCTCAATAATGTGGGCTAGGTGGTCCTCATCTCGACAATAATCCTCACCAGAATGAGGTTCGAATAGGTAATCTCCAGTAGCTAGCTCGAACGCCATGCACGCAGTACTCCAAATGTCAGCAGATGTATTGTACCCAGCACCCAGCAGTACTTCCAGAGATCTGTACTGCCTAGTTTGAATATCTTCTGTGAAATGTTTGTCCACCCAGCACGCATTGCCTAAATCAGCAATTTTTACGTCAAAATCACATTCAACAAAGGCAGGATCAAGATCTAATTTTTTGCTCTCGCTTCTAGAGTTCAAAGGGGAATCATCTTCACACATATGCATGATTGGCTCATCTCCTGCTTGCTCACATATAGGAGCTTCTCCAGCTCCTAGTTCTTCAACACAACCATTGGATAGTTTCTCTTCTAATTCTGGTGTGGTTTCCGGGCTCGGTGAAGTACCATTACAATCTGTATCACCATTGACATTCAAGTCATTTACATCACCATTTTCTTTAACTTTTTTTTGTTCCTCAAGTTCAATAATCTGTTCCATTTGTCGTTTTAGTAATTCATTTTGTCGTTTTGCTTTTTTCTTTAGCTTTTTCTTTTTATTTTTGCTCATTTTTACTTGCTGAGCTTCTGTTATAGGAGCAGTACTAACAAGAGAAGTGGGCAATTTCAAACCTAGCTGGTGCATCTCTGCTGCTTCACAGGCTAATCGACGGATAGCTTCTTCAGTAACACAAATCAAAACATTTTCTGGTTTGATATCGGTGTGTATAATTTTGCATTTAGTGTGTAAGTAATCTAGACCTTCCAACACTTGCCTCATTATTGTACGAACATTAGCCAAAGGAATCCCTCTATAATTTGATTTAATAATCAATTTCAACAGATGGTGGCCAAGGACTTCAAACACCATGCAGACATGGACACCATTTATCCCACTTATTTTAAAGTCATTCAATAATTGTACAGTTTTATTTCTTTTGGGATCTGAAGGATCAGATTCTCTTACAGATTTCAAAATTTTTATCTCATCCAGGGCAGTTTCTGTGAAGTGATCAGCTGACTTGACTATTTTCAATGCAACAAACCTCTTATCTTCAAGATCCCAACACAACCATACTGTAGAAAAATGACCCCAACCTAGTTTCCTCGTTACATGGTATCGCATGAGAAACAGGTCGCCAATTTTGACAGGATGATAACCTCCTTTGCGATAATCCGTACTGTCTTCTTGTTCTTCCTCTTCACTCGTGTAGGGATCGTCTGGATCTTCAATGGTTTCATTACTAGAGCTGTGGGATGGTTCACTCTTGGTATTATGTCGATTCTCTCCACCATGACCATTCATTTCGTTTTTTCCCTTCTTCTTACCAGGCTTGTGTCTCTTCTTTTTAGCTTGGATAGCTAAGACACGTCTGTTTACGTCCAATTTAGCGCTCATTTGTATAACTTTCCTGAACAATCACCACTGTGAAACGATGTGAATATGTCAAATGCCCTTCATTTCCGAGAAAACACTTTTGTTAAACTATGGCCGCCTCCGTTCTTCGTTTTTTAACTTGAAAAATAAAATCTCTCGAGCGAGCGACACAGACACAGTACTTTCCGTTTCTGTCTCTCTCTTTATGTCTTTTAGGCTCCGTTCCGTATCGAAATAAAATTACCGAAGATACACTTTCAATTTATCGTCTGAATTATTACAAAATTCACATTTGAAACTGTGAATCTGTCAATCTTAATAATTCATTAATAGAAATGATCTTTACCAATCCCAAGAATATTCATAATAGGTATAAAATTCAGAATAATGGCCTAAGCATATCAATATCTACGAGTAACAAAATGTTTGACGCCGAGGTTCTGACTTTAACTATTTCCGGGTTCGTAGGACGTGGATTTTTGGAATTTTTTTGCCGTGACCCTGTTCGAGGGCAACGAGTTCCGTTTTTTCTAATAGAATCCTGTGTTTTCCTTCACTGAGTGCGTGTTCTGCCACGGCTAACTTGTCTGTTTGTCCTAATCTGCAGTTTCTTTCATGCTTCTTTAGCCTTGTTCCCATGGATATTTTAGTGGTTCCTATGTATACCTTCCCACAAGTGCACGGTATGCGATAAACCCCTGCTGCTGATAGTGAGCCTCTTTTGTCTTTAGGGTTCGTTTTTGTCTTTTTAGGGACCCATGCCGTGCACTTGTGGAAGGTATACATCAATACCACCAAAAGATCCATGGGAACAAGGCACTGCAATGTTGCCCGACAATTTTAATCGTGGCGAGTAAAATTGTGCGTGCAAAATTGCAGTGTGTGGCGTAGTACTGACAATCTTAAGGCTAGTTCATGTTGGAACGAACATCGCATAAAAAGTGCGATTTAAAATGGCGTCGTGTTTATCGTAAAAAAGTTGAAAAAATTGAACTTTTTTGCGATTTCCGCAAAATGTTATACGTCAACATACAATGAGGTTATATTGATTTCACTCTCGTTTTTTAAGCCCATACATCGAAATTGAATCCGAAATGGACGAATGTGTCAGGTTGTTCAAATTATATCAACTTTACCGTAAAAAGCTTCATTGAGAAAACCCCGTCTTTAGGGTGGAAAATATTTTCAAAAATAGAAGAAAATATGGAGAATATCACAATCTTGTGGCTGAAATAAATGAGAATTAGTGATCCAGAGAAATATTTCAGCTATTTCAGGCTCCCTCTCTCATTATTCAATAAATTATTGAATTTGGTTGGCCCCTCATTGAAGAACTCATTTTGCAAAAGAACCCCTCGCCCCTGCAGGCAGTAACGTTAAGATAAGTGGTTTGAAGACACGCTCCTATTAAACAAAACTTGAGAAAATTGTTAGTCCTATATTCTGATATGATGGGGTCTAGTCTTAAAAGTCGTAATTCGTATGTCATCATTCAGGTTCATGTAATAAAATTTAAAATTCAACAATGAAATACCTAGATATTGCCGGCTTCAACATGAACAGGGTATTTTGACAATTGAGGCGAATTTGCGGAACCGCAAAAATATTATCGCAATCGTTCTAATATGAACTCGCCTTTACTCGGCAATTTGAATTACAGTCGCCACCATAATTTTACACGTACATGTCAACAGGTTCGTGCAAGTCAACGTGTGTGTAGGCATAACAATCTTAACCATCATTCATCGACAGCGAAAACTCGTTAAAAAAGGGTATGTTTATTGCAAAAATAATTCAAACATGGATACTAGAACTTGGAGCAAATATTTTGTAATAGAGTTGATTGAGTTATAAAGAAGTCACCCTTGTTTGTGGAATGTAAACTGCAGAGAATATAGTAACAAAATAATGAAAAACAAAGCGTACCAGGAATTAGTGACGAAAGTACAGCAGGTAGACCCTGATGCGACGAAGGAGACTGTAAAAAAGAAAATAGATTCCATGAGAGGATCAGTAAGAAAAGAAAGGGAGAAAGTAATAGATAGCAAAAAATCCGATGTAGGAAGTGACGCAGTATGAGCCACATTTGTGGTATTTTACATATTTCCAGTTTTTAGAGGACCAAGAAGTTCCGCGTTAGAGCCAATCCAATATTGAAAGTGATCAGGAACTAGCAGAACAGGAACATTTACAACAGGTGATAATAAATAAAATTACACTCAGGAGAAGTTAACAGTGTTAACTTCTTTTTTTAGATTTTCAACCCGAACTCGGTGCAATTGTTACAGATTTGAAATGGTTAAACTGAAAATAAGGTGATTTCAAAGAAGTAAAATAACAACATTGTTTTTATAGACAAAGAGCGAAGCTAAACAATGTGGTAACGTTGAAACTAAGATTGTTTGAAGGTGCTTGACAATGTTTCTGTATAAGAAGAAATATTCAGGACTTCCATTGTCTAAAGCGGAAAGGCATGAATTCTATGCTAGAACAGATAAAATTAAATTACTGTGAAATTATGAAGTGCTGAAAATGAAAACTGCTAAAATAATTAAACGATATGTTGAAAATAGAATAATTAAAGTACGTCTTTTTGTAACTTCAATTCAGTTAACAAATTAATATGTGAAAATTGCTGTCTTTTTAGCAGTCAATCTTTGGACCATGCACCTGCAACGTTTTTTTCTATTTTGCCTTTTTATCACTAATGCCGCTGCCACTGCCAGTTTATGTGCTCGTTTCATCGTGTCGCTGTCCAAACTCCAAACTAACTGCGAACTGGCTTTGTGGCCTGACAATGTATGAACGCTTCGTCCCTACAATTTTGCACGCACAATTTTACTCGCCAAGGTTAAAATTGTCGGGCAACATTGCAATGTATGGCGGCCTTTAAGGGGCATGAAAGAAAATGCAGACTAGGCCAAACGAACAAGTCAGCCGTGGCTGAACACGCACGTGAAGGGGAGCACAGAATTCTCTTCGAAAACACGGAACTCATTCCCCCGACCATAGATACCATATAACCGACTGTCTAAAGAAAACAGTTACAAGTTACAAGTGGAAATATTCATATTCGTTGATATGCTGAACGTGATGATGTTCAAATTTTCAATTAGTTTCACCTTAATTCAGGTGGAATTATTACTCATTAAGTAGGTCATATGATTGGAATTGTTATTATATAAAACACAAATTGTAGGTGCCCATATAATGAGTTGATAAAATTTCCTTTAATGATGTTTAAATTTTAAATTAGTTTATACCTATACTCAGGTTATATTATTTTTAAATACATAGGTAGAAGGTCATATGGTTATTACATGAAGCACAAATTAACCAAAATTTAGTCAATATGAAAACGCTCGAGGAAGCCATCGTATAGCGAAATATGTTTTGTGAACTGTCCAGTGAAAATCTCACTGAAAATTGTTGAGAGTTTATTGATTTTCTTACCAGCTATGACTAATAATACAGGCGCAGATGGCGATACTTTATTGAGCGTTTTTGAAACATCGCATTTGATTTGTAGTAGTATGTTCAGTTTAGATCAAGACCTAGCGTACTTCTATATTAGGCTGACCAAATAATCACTAAAAAACCGGAACTTTTTCCATATTTTACTCTCCCTCTTCCCCAACCATAATATACCCAGGACCCGGGAAAACAATTACTCATATTCAATTCTACAATATCAGATTAACTTTATTATCACTATTAAAACATCTTCCAGCCTTATTGATCATGTCTTCTTTCTTCAAAACATAACATAACTGAAAAATTCCATACAGTCCATTTTGTACAGGATCTGTAGGATTGCCTCAAGCGTCTCCACTTCCATTCTATCTCTTTCATTCATTGAATATTCATGAAAGAAAATATTCTTTCTATATTCGCAATATGAGCTGGTATTGCAAATAGATATTTTGCAATCTTAGCCATCTCTTCGTTTTCGTCATTCCACTTTTCGAGATATTCTTCAATTAAATTTTTTAGTATTCCAAATTGATCAAAGAGAATGGAATCATCAATTCCAACTTGTTTCTCGTTTAAATAAACAACTGTTTTTTTCAATATCTTCCCATTCTGGAATTCTCTTTAATAACATTCAATCAAAAACAAAAAATGGCGAGAATCAACTACTCCACTTGCTCAGATATTCCACACAAGTTCCGTAAAACTTAGAAACTTCTTCTTTAAAATGCTGAATGAACCACAACAAATTTGTTCATATGTTCATATGACCATACGTCCCGGTTTAGGCGGGACAGTTCCGGTTTCAGGCAGTCTGTCCCGGTGTCCCCAGCGAAGCCAACATATTCCCGGTTTTGCAAGCAGACCCAACGATAGTCTAAAATTTATTTTTTCCGCTCGAAATTCGAGGCCCGACGCTCCGCATGGGGAGGCAAATGACGACAGAGCGCGCCGCCCGCCTACGCGGTGCTGCGCCAATGCGTGTGAGCAGGATAGATAAATAACACACCTAACGTCTGTGGGAATCCCTTCCACCCGCGGTAACCGATGTTCCGTCTTCCGTCAACAAGTACAATGTTTTGTTTTAATTCAGTTCAAGTCGGACAAAACGAGTATCGTACGCAACGCAACACAGTTATTTGTAAAACAACAATAATGCCTAAATGCAAGTGCTCTTTCAATATTAGTTTGCAACAGAAATATCCATTTATAAAACAAAGAAAAGATGGTACCGCAGACGTTACGTGTGAAAAGCGTCGTACTGATTTTAATGTTGGACATGGTGGTGCCAGTGATATAGAACACCATTTAAAATCAGAAAAACACAGGCTTGCTGATCAAGCTGCTGCTTCAAGCTCGTCAATGCTTAGTTTTTTTTAAGAAAACCGATTTGCCAACTTCAAAGGATTTGGAAATAGCTGCAGCTGAGGGTACTTGGGCGTTTCACACCGTGCAACATAATCACAATTTTCGTTCAAATGACTGTTCTTTTCCTTTAATTCAAGCATGTTTTGAGCAAAAATTTAGATGTGCACGTACAAAGTCTCAAGCTATTGTGGTAAATGTGCTGTCAACTATGGCAACCGAAGATTTAAAAGAGCATTTACTCAAAGCCCACTGCATACCTTTACTAACAGATGCTTCAAACCATGGCTCAATCAAATTATTCCCAGTTCCCAGCGTTAACGTTAAGGTTTTAGAGTTTCGGGAGCAGATACTTAGAGCAGTGGTGTCAATTCAACACAGAACTGGAAGTGTTTGAATGTGCAAACTTAACAAAGGTGCCTACGTGGGAAGAGGTGCAGAAAGTTATGGATATACTGATCAGGCAAGGTTTTATTAGCAACAGCCAAGATACGTAAGTCTTTGATGAGTTCCTATTCATTTCCAACTATGCGACAGATGAAAAAATCTCTTGCTGGAATGCCGAGAATGTATCGACTGAAAACCCTTGGGTTGAATTATTTCAGCATTTCCGTACTAACGACCTTCATTTAACAAACTTTTCCATAATTATTGAGTACGTTATGTTTCTGCCTGGTAGTAACGCACCAGTCGAAAGAGTTTTTTCCCAAATGAACAAAATATGGCCAGTGATAAAAGACAGTTAAGTGTCGCAGTACTGAAAGCTATTCTGATTACGATAATGAATATAAATAAATCATGTACTGCGTTACATATGTATCTAAAAACAAGACCCGCTATTTAAAAAAAAATGTGTTCAGCCGATAATTACAAAAATACGACTTAGAAGTCACGCCACTACTGAAGGCTTAGTTAGTAAGTCATGCCAATTTAAAAAATTGTGTTTAGAGCTTTGATTATTTTGTGTTATCCGATCTTATATAATAAAATACTTGTAAAACACTAAAAACATTTTTTTATTATATATTTCCGCAGATGTGTCCCGGTCTGACAAAATAAATAAATGGTCACGTTAACCATGACCCATACTAATAAAAGAGTTACACATAGAACACTCTACCCGAGAATAGGTATTCTCGGACTCTACTTCGTACTCGAAACGACATCTCTTAATAAAGTTCCACTCCTTGCAATAAGTGCACTGACGGCATTGTGACGTATTAATTGATAAAAGAAGCCGGTATTGGAATTATTTATGAATTACTAACTTGACTTGACACTTGAATACGCTAACATTGACATAACCTCAACTAATCGCGCAAGACCAAAATAGTAACTAGTGATCTACTGGCGTGACAAGCATACAATAGACACCTTATGGCTTAGTTGAAAACCGGGACAATCCCGGTTTTCCGGGACATTTTGGTCAACCTATTCTATATGGATCCATGTTATACTTCAGTCAAATTATATTTTCGTTTTAGGTTAATTCATTGAACTTTATTGTTAAGAAACTTTTAATTAATCTTTTAACGGTAGGAGTTGTTTTCTATCTACAAGGTAAGTTGAATAATAATGATTATTATTAGCAGTTGCTATTTTTTAAACGTTTACCATAAGTGGATTTTTCGAAAGATGCCAAGGGGCTAAGGCTTTCAGAAGGGAAGGTTCGTTACTGAAAAAAATGTATCAGTTCAAAGCCTCCGCATTGTAATGATGCGATCAACTCAACTCAAATTTTGCGCAGCCATGAGCGTAGATGCTCCACAGAAAAAGTCACTATTGCAGGAGAGAGTTCGAAAAGCATATGCAGCTGACAGAAATTTGTCACTCTCATCTATAGCTAGTTGCTGGAGCATGCACAATGCTAAATATGGAGAACTGTTTACTCTAAAAACTACCGTTGTGGGATAATAATTTTGAAAAGATTTATTCGGATAAAATTTCCAAACACTTCTCTGATAGTTCGCTTTGAATTTAATTCAATCATAATACCAACAAAAAAGTACCTAATCATTCAAAGATCTCTGATTAGGTTACCATGCCGAAGCGTGGAAAATAACTGGCAACTTTGTGGTAGTACTTTATGGTTTCAGGACGCAATGATGCAAGATATGAAAGGTTTCGGGAGGGATATTGCTTTCACAAACTCTTTTCATGTATCCTGCTCCCAATTATTCCTTCATGAAAGCTTAATATTGCCTATACAAGTCGAAAATTTTCAGAAGACGACGTTCTAACAAATAGAAGCGATTCACCATGTTCCAGAAAGTGTTGAAGGGGGTCCACGAAACGATAACGATACAGTGTATCGTCCAGTAGTATCCCGAGAATTTTTTTTTGAAAAACATACAGAACATTTTCAGAAACATTTTCTTATTCCCATAGTTTTTTAATTGTTCCTTTGATATCCCATTTTCATGAGGAGTTGCAAAGAAATAAAATACTAAAAGAGATTCAGTGCTCAATTTTCCCAAGAAGACAAATCTGAAAATTGAATTGTCTGCATCAGGCTCTCCATCATCGCCTGATAGATGCCTTGTGAAATATTAGCACTTGAATTTTCAAAATTTGGGTCTGCCAATGTGAAGTTCTTAGATGTGACCATCTTTCAGTAGAGAATGTAAAAGTAGGAATACTGTGACATATTTTGTTCTCAGAAATACTCAAAAATGCCAAGTCAGATTATCGAAATAGCTAACTAATACTCTCTATGAAAATAAATGTCTTCAAAGTACAATGCCCTCGGCAGAGTATCGAGTCTTTTCTGGAACAGAAACAGAAGCATTTTGTATCACCTCTGGAGGTGCTTGGAAAAAAAAAAGAAAAATTAAATATTCAGAAAGTAAATTACGAAACAAATCAAAACATGAATCAAAATCACTTTTATCTCAAGATCATACAGTGTCCACCTCTTCATATTGTTTTTGATCTGTAATATTGTATTAGAAAGAATTACAAAATGTCATTTTCGCGTAACACTATCAAATCGGTTCAAAATTTATCTCGAAGGACCAAATTGTTTGATAACCCTTGAATGTGCTATATCAAGGTAAATTCCGATTGAATTCGTGACCACAAGGACTTATCGATTATGTAACATTGATGTTCAGTCCCGTGATTCTTCTAATGGTAGTAGTTGTGCCTGCTGGACCCTGGATGAAGGCGCTCCTTGATGTTGAAGACAATCGGCAGGCAGCCAGACTATGGGTTGTTCCTGATTGTATCGACTTTTTTATGGTAAGTCATTCAGAGTGTCAATATACGACACAAAATGAATATATAATAATAATTTCTACTAAACCAATCTTCAACTCGGCTAATGCGAAATTTGTCTGGGCTATTGCAGTTCTGTTTACCGTACAGGGTTGAGGTTATTAGTTTTCGTTTGCTTTTAACCGCAAAGATGTGCAGATATTTTCAAGGTCGTAGACGGTAAGAAAATCAAATCTACTTGAATACTTTTCGTAAAGAATTTGTGATTAATTTACATTTTACTTAGATAGTTTTCACAGTTTTCACAATTGTTTGGTATTTCTCCAATTGTTTTAGGTCGTTAACCAGAGTCATATTTGAAATAAAGTCCCAGCGAATTTTTTACCAACTCTATTTTATAAACCATTCATTTCTCTAGCGAAAAGTAAAAATTAATGATGAGATTAAACACTCTTAGAAAAAAAATTTCGAGCTCTAACAGCTGCATTTCACGGTAGAAAGTGAGAGATGACAACATTATTTGAATGAAGAGTTGGGATGGCACCTTTGGACATGAATATTTTATTTCCAAAGCGGAATATTTGTCCAGAAAAAAATAGGTATTATGAACACTCACATGGAAGTTTTCTTCTCAAATAACTACTACTCACATTGAAACTTGGATATACCTCAGTGCTAATAACTTTGACGGAAAACATACAAGTGAAAGAAATTCAATTTTACTTTTTTACCATACTCCGGGATTGCAAACGAAACGTCTGGCCCAAATCTTGCAAACCACGGCTAGTGGTAAAAGCCTACTAACTATGATCATTCGATCTATTTTTTCACATGTATAACTCATATGCCTATGAGTTACACATGTGACATGTGATGAGCTATGAGATGACTGTTAGAGGTGTCAAATGAGTTAGATGAGATATACTCATCCCTTGCTACTAGTGTATCCTACTTTACCTATCGCCGCATATAACAATATATAAAATATAATTGAAAATAGTTTTGAACATGATAGAAATGAAACTCTAGCCTCCACTTCACTTCATAATTCAATTACGGTAGGCAACTTTATACCTTGGTATACACTTTAAAACAAAATCAATGGTTGGAAAATATTAGAAGTTCATTATTTTTATAAATTTCGTATACTGGAAAAGTGCAGGGATTTTGTGAGGATTTTCATCAACTTGCGAGTAAAATGCAAGTGTTCTGTCCCAAGTTTTGGAGTATTTTGTGCAATATCCATTGGCAACATTGTTTATCGGGTATGGGGTTTGCAACACTGGCCAGAGACAGAAAATCATTGAAGAATGAAAAAAAAGGTGAAGATTTCTTTGACATATACGCTAAACTGTTATTTACATTTATATTGAAAAGTTTGCATCGCTTCGGAAGTTCGATATTACTTTAATTTCCAATATTGGTGTTTTATTATGAATAATGCCGATTTTAACGACGAAAGTGATTCTAGTGATGAAGACTATATTCCTCAAGGAAAACTAGAAGAGGTACTATCAGAAGTCGACAGTGATGGAGATCCGGAGGACCCCATATCGGAATCCGAAGAATCAACCAGTAGAAACAGAAAACGAAAGAAATTGAATAAAGAAAGGCCTATAACTGTGAGAAGAAGTGAACCAAAGGAGTCAGGTAATATTTGATAGAGCATTATTACATTGTACACTTTGCTGGTTTTTTAACGTTATTGTCAACATAATTAATACAAATCAAGTCATTAGTCAAGTCAAATCAGTGGCATTAATGAACACAAAAAGCAAAAATGGAAATTTTGGTCTGTATTTTGAACAAATTGCCTAGTTTGAGGATCTCTCTGCATACTGAAAACAAATTTCACTTCTTTATGTTTTCCGTTGGTAAAACCAGTGTTGGTGTTTATTTTATTTCCTATTGGTAAAACGAATATCAGTTAACATGTTCCATTGGAAAACCCAATTGCAGAGAAATGCACTCAGGGTATATTTTTTCAGTACCAGCTCTTTTGGGCTGTGCAGCTTCAGTGCTTGGCAGGATGATGACACCTATTTTTTTATCATCTTCATCGAGTCCCAGCCCATTAAGTTCCAGCCAACATGGGTACATCTCTCAAATTTTCTCAGGATATCATAATGAGTATTACATCTCTTTGAGATGTTAAGAAGACATCCTGGCCATATAATTTTTTTAACTCATAGAGCTCTATCATGGGGATATCAGATTATTATATCAGAGAAACATTACATATAATGAAATAAGTGTTATACAATATTGGAAAAATATCTATTTGTAATATTTTCACGACATCCTAGTTTTACATCACATCAACATCCTACAAAGATGTCTCTTCGATTTTAATTTCTGCAAGTAACGGATAAGTAAAATTTTTCACTCCAAGAAAGAAGCGGCCTAGAAGAGCACCAGCAACTGATATTCCCAAGTATGAGCATTCCAATATTAGACCGATTATTTACGACTTTCATAAGACGGAAGGACGTTTGTCGTATTTTGTTAAAAAGTTCCAACACAAAATTAATGACGTTTTGGGAATTGTGGCTTCCGAAACATCTCTTCGTAGAATTTCAAATGTTAACAAACAAAACCTAACAAGTATCTAACATGTGTAGTGTGTGAAAACAGCCATCATGTGCTGCAAAAACTAAATCAAAATGCATAGAAATGTGTGACAGTATGATAACTGTAGTTTTTTTAACATGAAATAAGTTTCTGAAGATAAGGAGACAAATGTAATTGAGAAGCTGAAAACGGAAGATGAGATGCTAAAAAATTTCTCAGAAAAAATGATAAGTATGCTTCGCTCATGGAAAATAATAAACTAGTACGAGTAAATAATAACTTATTGCAGAAAAGATTGACTCATCAAAAGGGGAAACAAACAAAAATTCAAAGCCGACAGAAAAAGATAAATACAGTGATATGGTGAAAACAAGCATACAAACAGTTTTTTTTTTTCACAGTAGTGTGCGCTGGTCAGGCCCTATCCCCCGAAGCCCTGATACATTCGGGAGGGCGCGCCAGCATTATCAACCAATGACCACTCCCCACACCGTGGGGTAAGTGATCATTGGGTCCGAGAATCATGTGCCCAGAGCAAGCGCAGTGAGCCAAGAATGACAGCCTTCTGCATCTGTGCGGCTAAGATTTCTGCCTTAGTGCGGCATGATTTTGAGATTCGAGAGTAGAGAAGACATCATTCCACCAAGGCCTCCAATAATCAGAACAACCATCTTGACAGAGTGATCTGGATAGAGTCTGCGGAGTTCGAAGAGAAAATCTCGATATTTTATCCGTTTTTCTTCCTCTTTTCTGACGATATTCATCTCGCCAGGAGCTGAAAACTCCATGACAAATATCGTCTTGGTCTGGTGGTCGAGAAGGACTACATCAGGCTTATTAGCTTGTATGAGCTTGAGGGTGGGGAACGAATAGTTCCAATAAATTCGGCACTTCTCGTTCCCCACAACGGATTAAATATCCCCCGGAGCGTAGGGCAACACCGGTGTCTCGTCAATACCGTAAGAGTGCCGGAGATGGTAGTATAGCACTCTTAGGGCCGCGTTATGTCGATGGAAATTCTTCCCATCGCATTAATTAGATCTGTAACGCTCATTTTATTTTTGTTTAATTCTTTTTGATTTCCTTAATATTTTTGATTTTGTGGTATCCATAACCCCAACTTTGATACATGTTGAGCATTTTAGAACTTAATTTTTTTATGACTCTTCTACCATAACTCTCATGGAAGAAAGAGACATCACAGGTTTTACATCCCAAATAAGTTGATGTAAATTTATTGCACAAGGAATCAACAGAGATTGTTACTTTGTAGCAGTAACAGGACATTGGATATGTGAATGGCAATTAAAACTTCATGGAATTCAAAACTCCAAACTCGCCTTTTTTTATTGTCGCTCTGAAAATGACCATAGGGGTACGGTAATTAACGTTAAATAGGACATTGATTACAAAGTGTTGAGAGTGTTTCTGAGGAAGATATATTTGAATTTTATGATAGGCTTGAGGAAATTTTTAAGAAAATTAGTAGTGATTTCATTATTGTTTTAAAAGACAATGAGAACATTATCAGAATGAATTTTTTACTTAATTGGTATTCGTTTTCACTATTGATGAGTATACAAGAATTACTCCCATATTAAAAAATGCATTGATAATATTTTCACAAGTATGAAAGACGAATACTCTACATATATATCACACACTTCTATTTCTAATCATATAGTACAGATTAGTTTTTCAATATTCAAATATAGAAGAATATTCGCTATAGACATCATCATATGTTTATTGAGAAAATAAAAGGTCAAAATCGGTTGGAAGTATGTCATATAAACCAAACAGATGTAAATATACAATGGAATGCATTCATAAATTTATTTCTCAATATATTTCATGAAAACTTCCCACATAAACACATCAAAGAAAACAGAAGGAAACTACTGTGATAGACTTAGAGATAGAAAAGTGTAAAAACAGGCTTTATATATTGCTTACTATTTCAAATCATAATCATAATATGAAAAGAATGTATAAAGACAATATAATATGATAAAATTCAGGAAAGGAAAAGAAGTGAGAAGAAATCAGTCGATCTGATAACAAAACGAAGTGCATATGGAGCATATATAAAGAGATAGGTGAAACTAACACCACATATATAATATTTGAGGAAAATCCAACATAAACTGCTAGTCAGTACAAGAAATTTCTATTGAATGTCATTCCAGAAATCCCCAAAAACAGTAATAGTACCAAATTCACATGCAATATTTCACACATGTCGAGGTGTTAAAAATAACGATTTGGTATTGGGATAGAAATCCAGTAATATTCAATACTACACCAAAGGTTCCAAACAGTGCATCACAAGTCCATAGTATTGTGGTATCATCTACGAATGATGTAATCTTTCCCTTTAAATTGAATATGTCATTTATATACAAAAGAAAGATAATGAGACCAAGAATAGACTTCTAAGGGATTCAACTGTTTATGCTACCTGCAGCTGATAATAAAATTATGAATTTGAAAATCACTGCCAGAAAATATCAAACTTATTAGTCTCTTTTGCGCAACAAAAACTCTTGAGAACTCCTTGGCACGTCCCAAGACATATTAAAGGTGATGTGAGAGTAAGTCAAAAAAAAGTGGACATTTAACACTCCAAATTTATTCAGAGTTTCTCAATTGTTTGATTAAATAATGGGCAGAACTAAGTTTGTTGCAGACTTTTTGAATATGACAACTCCAGGTTAGATTTTTGTCCAAAGCCGTTTCTGAAAACACAACATCGTTAGATGACTAAATATCATTAGCTAAGCATGATTCACTGCTGAAGTCTCTCCTAATAAATGATTTCTTTGAAATAGATTTGGATTTATTCAGAATAAGTTTGTTGCTTCGACACCAAGCACTAAATTTGTCTACTATGTTATTAATATTTCTGATAAGTCTTTGTTATTTCCACATACAGTAATTTCAATGTCATCAGCAAACATAGTATTGTGATATTCAGAAAAAAATTCAGATGTATCATTTATGAAGTTGAGTAACAGCAGTGGTCCTAGTACAGAACCTTGAAGCACTACTAGAGTTTCATCTTGTGTATTTGATGATACTCCATTGCAGCTATTGAACTGCGATCTTCCATATATGATTTTACCCAGCTTAGTAAATTATTTGCAAAGCCTAGGCCTGCTAGTTTAAGTGCAAGAAATTCTGAAGATATTGTATCAGAAGCTTTTGAAAAATCTAAAAAGAGTATCCCAACTAGTTTGTTCAAATCACTTGTGTATAAATGAAATTTAATTCAATAAGTCGTATGAAACTGATTCAATTGATTTAATCTTTTCCAAGCCATGTTGATCGTTACCGAAAAGATATTTTTGAATCAGGTAATTCAAAAATTTGTTACTAAAGCCTTTCTCAAACAGTTTAGAGAGGGAGCAAAGCAAATAAATTTGCCTGTAGTTATCTACTTCTTGTTTTGCTCCTTTCATTGTATAGAGGATATACAAGAGCCTATTTGAATGCGTTTGGAAAACAGCCTGCAAAGAAGGACTGATTCGTTATGAACATCAGTGTCTCGATTATACGGCCAATTAATTTTTTGGAAGTAACTTTGGGATTTCATCAATACCCGCAGTTTTTATTTGCCATTGATTCAAGGGTATTCAGAATTTCCACTTCCGTGAAAGATGATGTATTGAAGTGATATAGACTGAAAGTACAGGAAAGTATAGGAAAGTGATACATTTTGACCGAAGTGCTCTGAAATAGTCAATTCATCGGAAGATGAAAAATGTTCGGCAAAAGGGTTGAGATTTCTTGTGGATCTTAAATTTCTTCATCTGATTTATTTGTAAGAATAATAATTTTGTTATTAGGGGTTCTTTTTTATTCCCAAGTCCATTGTTCATTATTTCCAAAATTTTTTAGCTTTGTTACTGGAGTTCCTCATTTTTTAATCATAATAGTGTTTTTTTTTTAATTTTTCATTTGTATTCTTCCATTTTACTTTATTAATTTGCACATTATATAGCTATTAGATAGTGCTAGTATATAGTGAGACCATCAAAGAGAGCTTTGATCTCGAATCACTGTCAAGTGGTCCACTG